AGCTCTCAAATGTCCTGGATCTCGAATTACTAGTACTGAAATTGTGTTGGCATAGATTATAATGTTATGAGGAACTCAGGAAGGGTTCATGAATTTGGATTTCATCTATTTTAAAATTCCTAATTTGGAAAAACTCAAGTTTTGGAATTAACAGTACACTCTCGTGCCCATCTCTTGTCATGAGAAAAAACCTATTTAGATTTTCTCCATTCTGATCCACCATCCACATTCCAGACATGATCCGACAACCATTGAGACCCAAACGACACACATGCAGAAATAAAAAACTTTCATCATGAAGAGAGTTCTCCCCTCTCGACTTCAACAACTCTGCCATTCAAGTGGCAGCACGTGGTGGCTTCCACCCAAACACAAATACTCGCGCAGCCTTATTCAGGTCCTCACTCTCAAATCGGCAAGTCATTGGAGAGGCAGCCTCTGACAAGAATGAGAAGAATGCTTCAACAACAGCTTTCGAAAAGGATCAACAAGAATTTCTAAAGAATAACCCTTCTGTTGCATCTGTTTCATCATACGACAAATCTCCAAGTGCTGTTCGAAAAGAAAAGGAAAAAGAAAGTTCCTTCTTTGACAATCCAAATCCAATTCCTAATTTAAATACAACAGAAAAGATGGCAAACAAAAATCCAATTGGATCCTACACTCCTGGTTCGTATGTGGTTGGATCCACAACTGTGGAAGAAGATGACTCTGATATTCCAAGTCATCATATGGGAAAACCTTTGGATGGAGATCCAAATTTATTTTTTTGGATTTGACGACGAACTTTATGAGGAAACTTTGTACACCGAGAAAGACACAACTGCAAAGTTTCTTGGTAATGAAACGAATAATAGTGGAAAAGGATTGAACAACAATTCTTGGAAAAGCTCCAGTATCAACAAGGATCAACAAAGTGAAATTAAGGAAAAAACAAAGGAATAATAAAACTAAAAGGAACGAACTTTTTGAGGCAACTGTGTTCATAATAGAGGCAAAGTAAGATCGCATAGTAAGAAGATATGATCAAGATTTAATGCCCAAAAAGTTCAATTGATGCATTCACTTTTAGCTTGTCGACAACAGGGCAAAACAATCAATCATTTAACGCTCGCTTAACCTCTGTAAACCCTCAAAGACAAGCATTCTTTTAATCTCATCCCTAGAATTCTTCACTCCAACTACTCTCCTTTCGTCGTTCGATTATTTCTTTTCATATTGATGGGCCATTGGCCTCCATTGCTCGGCAACATTCAAATCCTTCTCCACTCCCAATCCATCACGATACATGACGGCAAGGATCTTCATGGC